TCTATATTTGTGTATACTTTCAATTCCTGGTATTTTAAGCCATTTTTAAGAATTTAATAAATTATTCAAAGTATATTCATGATGATAGAGAACAATCAAAAATATTCTGTGAGTTTATTATAAAATCAATATTCTTTGTTATATTTTGAAATGTTTGCAAAGTTGGCAAAAAACTTCACGTCTGATAAGATTGTGTTAAGTTTTCACTAAAATACACATTAAAGCGTTAATTTAAAGCTAATTAAACCAAAAGCTTTACTTTTAGGCCAAACATATTTGTGTAAAAATATTTGCAGTTAATATCATGAGAAAAGTATATCAATAATTGTTGCAAAATTAAATCCAAAGTGTACTCACGTTTACACGCCTTCCTATGAGCGATGGGTTTACTTGCGTCCCGATAATAGCCTAACAATTAATAACACAGAATAAACTTAGAAAATGGTTTTAATAAATATATAGACTTTTAAATATTATATCTCAAGCATTGATAATACGATCCGCTCTTTTAGACTTAATGTTAGGATCATTTGACTTCAATTGTTTGGAAAACATTAAATATTATTAAACAATGATAAACTGCTAAAACGAGTAATTTATTTATGCTATATATCGAGCAGAATATAAAACTAAATCCAAAATAAAGTTAATTGGAATAACAATTTAATGCTATATTTGATAAAACAATTTTCTATTTGCAGTTATTATTCAATAGAAATACAGTAAAAAGAGTTCAATAATTGATTGATACCTTCTTTGCAATAATGACAATGTCTTCCAGCGGTGTTGTGCCGACACTTGAGACAAACGCCTCCACTCTTACGACCGGAGAGTTTGTATAATTCCATATTAAAGCGACACTTGCGGGCGTGAAGGTTGCAGTTACACGCTATCAACATATTTAATACATATCATTAGTTCATCATTATTATTATAATCATGTTTATTTTAGTTTCTAGTTTTAAAATTTTTAATTTAATTATTGAAACACTTATTGCATTGAATTACAAGAATTTAAATAATTTTTTGT